AGCAAAGAGGTAACGTATTCAAGTTTCACAGCTAGAGGGGTCTTCTGGGCCCAGTTACTTACTAAGCAACTGGCTTAGAAATTTGAGTTCTGGAGACTTCAATGAGTTGCCCAAGGTCATATATCTTGTTAGCCAAAGACTAGGACTGCATTGCAGGACTCCTGACTCTTCTTCCTAGAATATCTCAGCTGCTTCAGTCTTCACCAAAGTGACTTTTAGGGACTAATTTAATTTTATAAGATGGGGGCGGGGGGCGGGGGTGGTTGGTAAAGACTCTGAAGAGAAAAAGTAAAAAGGAAGAGACAAAAAGATAAAAACGGAGGGGAGATTACAAATCTCAGTGTTCCCTTGGGGTGTTTCCTATCTCTGTCTTTGACACCTCCCAAGCTGGCCTTTCCTCCTCCCTCGCATGGCCTTGTTGTGGGTGGCCTCCAAAGGGCATGCAAAGTGCTAGGCCTACTGCTTAGCCCTCTCTGCACCCACTTCCTTGGGCACGTGTCTTCTCACATTACTTTAGCTCCTGTGGCACACAGACACATCTATATCTGGTGCTCTAGTCCTGGATTTCACATTTCTTTCCATAACTGGTTCTGGGATATTTCCTTATGTGGACATGCTTAGCTCAGCCGGAAATCAAAATTGGGATTCATCTTTTTTTTTTCTTTTCTGAAAATCTGAAGTTTTTCCCTACACCTGATTCCTTCAGTACTTCTGTAGTCTCCCCATCCTCCAGAGTCAAACTTTCATGTCACCAGAGGCTGGGGTTGGGGGAGGTAGGAATGGGGAATTGGTGTTTAATGGGTATGGAGTTTCAGTTTGGGAAGATGAAAAAGTTCGGCAGATGGGTGATGATTATGGTTGCATAACAATGTGAATGTACTTAATGCCACCAGACCACTTTAAAAAGTAAAAGTGGTAAATTGTATGTTATATATATTTTACCACAATTTAAAAAACACAAAACAAAAACTCACGTTATCTTTGACCCATGGCTACTATGCTCTCTCCTCCCCAGCTCACCTTGTTACCAGGTCATGCTGATTTTTTACTTAGTTGAGGTTCCTCAAACTTTCACGTCCTCTAGAATCACCAGGGAAACTTGTTAGAGTTATCAGTTTCTGAGCACCACTCCACTCTTTAGTCTGGGAGTTGGGCCTGGAATTTGCATTTATAGAAACCTAATGCAGACCAGCCACACTTGGAGAAATACCCTTTTGCTATCTTTTGACTTTGTCCCTTTGTCTCCTTTCCACCACCCCTCTCCCTGTCCTGGCTGCCTCTCATCACCTCACACCTGGATTACAGCAACAGCTGGCCTGCCTTGAGCTAGCCTTTCTCTGCTACAGCCCCTCCAGCTCAAGCTGGCCTTTGGGTTCTTTGGCATCACATCACTTTCCTGCTCAGAAGCCTACCATGACTCCCTCAGACTTATTAAATCCTATCTCAATTCATTTGGCAGGGATCCAACCCGGTTCACCCCCCATTCTCCCTCTTTCTTCCTTCCTTGTTCACTGCCATCCCTCTAGGCCAGTGGTTCTCAACCTGTGGGTCGCGATCCCTTTGGGGGTCGAACGACCCTTTCACAGGGGTCGCCTAAGACCATCGGAAAACACATATATAATCACATATTGTTTTTGTGATTAATCACTATGCTTTAATTATATTCAAGTTGTAACAATTAAATTGGTGGTCACCACAACATGAGGAACTGTATTAAAGGGTCGCGGCATTAGGAAGGTTGAGAACCACTGCTCTAGGCTCATTGGCCATTTTAAATCTTGTCAGCCTCTCTGCTAGTTTGGGGTGGTTTCCTTTTCCACCCTTTCCTTCCTACCCCTCGAACACTTACCTAATCCAAGAGGAATTATGAAAACTATTGAGATTTTCCACCCTTTTTCTCAATGCATTTTCTCCATTCCCACAAATCCTAGTTCTTCTATTAACTAGCAGCATGACTTTGGGCAAATTGTTTCACCTCTCTGTGCCTTGGTGTTCTCATTTTCTCCTCTGTAAAATGAGGATCTTAATGGCATATCCTCATAGGTTTGTGGAGAACATTAAAAGAGGCAATAGATGTAAAAGGGCTTAGAACAGTGCCTGACACAAAGTAAGTGCCATGTAACTGTTAGCTATTATTATTAATTATTGTTATTATGGCTTCTTCCAGTCAGCTCTTCTCTGGAAACCACTTCTGTTTGGAATAGCTAACTGATTGAGTTCTCTGTCAAACCTTGCCTGATCTAGGAGAGGTAGTTACATATTATTTGGGTTCCAACAAGCCTCTCTACATGAGACAACCTGAGGAACTGGGCTATCTACAATGTTCTAATTATGTCCATAAATTTCTTATCAACTAGGAGGAGATGAGGAGAGATTTGAAAGCAAGATTTTCCCTAGATAAGTAGGATGATATTGGGATAACTTCAAAATACCCTAAAGGACAGTGGGTTGTGTGCCTTCTTTTCTGTGGTCTTTCTAGAGTCCTCCTTACACCCCAGATTCTAGTGGCCCTTCTTCCTCATTTGCTCACTCCCTGGGTTCCTTATCAGACCCCAAGGGATCACCTTCCTCCACAGTAGTTTTAAGCCTGAGAGCCTTGCACCCTGTACTCCAGCAGTCCTTGTCTGTAAATCATCTATTGCCCACATTTCTGTTTTACTTTTCAAATCAGCTTCTATGCTTTTGTGACAAATGTAATACATTCCTTTTAAAAGCCCCCACTGGATTCAAAGTTACTGTTTGTCATTATGTGTTTTCTCTTAGTGAATACGAAGTTCAAATACTATCAGGTTGGGGGAGATCTGAAGATATACTGGACATTTAAAACGGGTCCTTGTGGTCACCCAGGCTGGGGACCACTGTCCTGTGGGCTACAAGGGTACTGTGGGAGTAGCACCAAACTCTCTGGCTCTTAGTTTTCTTGTCTGTCAAATGGAGGTAAATCATAACTGCCTCTTTTTCTAAGGGCAGGAAACAAAATGTTCCTGTTCATAAGAAGGGGTGTGGAGCGGCGCTCTTGTGATTCTTGTTGACATGCGAGAAGGGCTGCTGTAAGGATCAGATGAGATAATAGATAGGAGGGGACAGGGAGAGGGGGCATGCCCAGGCAGGGGAACATTACTGCTGCTGTTGCTCTTGTTCTTTTCCTTGTTCTGGGTCCAGCTGGACCAGCTAAGCCCAGAAACCGTGAATCTCTTTCCAGGAGCACTATGTTCTTTTGCCTTTCCCCACCCCTACTTGTTTTTCTGTGGGACGACAAAAAAAAAAAAGAGCTGATTCTATATGTGACTAACAAACAGCCACAAAGTTCCTCTTATCTAGTCTAACAACTGCTATGGCCTCCTAAGTGGCAGTGTTTGTCTCTGTTTAGTTGGGGTTGCCTAGGAAACAAAGTTGTTCTCTCTTTCCCACTATGTGACTGTGGGCAAGTTTTTCCCCTTTCTTGTAGGGAAGGGCAGGATCACCAGAGATGGCTGTGTGTTTGCTGGGCCAGTTCCTGAGTTTTTGGGTTTTTTTTCATCTTTTGGCTTTTATTTTGGCTTTTGTTTTTGAGAGGCCACCAAGCAGGGGTTTGTAAAGTTCTGAAGAAGAGTTTTGGTGATTAGGAATCGAATTTGGGAAGTCTACAGAGGAGCTAAAGAGTCAAAAGCTCCCTCAGCTCATCTTGAAAGGAGGACGGGTTTGGGAGTTAGTGGGGGCTGGGTAGAGTCCAGTCAAAGTTTGGGGTGACTGACTGGTCCAAAGTTTGTATCCATTTTAGCAGCCCTGAAATCTGCAAACCATGACGGAACTGTAGACAACAAAGTTAGCATCATGAACAGAGAGATTAGGAGCAGGTGGTGAAATCGGGATTTGAGAGGCCACCAAGCAGGGGTTTGTAAAGTTCTGAAGAAGAGTTCTGGTGATTAGAACAGAACAGGCCAACATGTATGAGCTTTAGAGAAAAGGAAGCATGACATTTTGAATATATTTAGGCTATGATTGGCACAAAAGGAGGGGCCCAAGACCTCTTGGTATTTGAGGTTTGTGGTACAGGAAAACCAAGGAGTGTGGTCAATTTCAAGTGACAAAGAAATAGGTATATATGCTATAGGACAGAGATAGAATGGGTCGATCAAATAGGGGTGATAGCCTCTGCTGAAAACACGTTGGGCCTAGAACACAGCGCAGGGTCCTGGTGAGGATGTGGTAGACACCAAATGCTCACTGAAAGGCTATCAGATAAATGGCAGGACTCTGAATGCCAGAGACATGGGGCCGGGGAAAAGGAGATGGGTGAGGATGAACTTCAAAGAGAGTCAGAGGAGGGAAGCTGAAGTCAGGATCCTTAGACTTCATCCTGCACATGCAACTCACGAGTTGTGAGCAAACTTTCAGCAGTCACAAGTGAAGCAGCAGAGACAAGTGAAGCAGCAGGGACTGAGAGCACCTTTCCTTGGGGGAAAGGATGGGGTTTTGGCTACCACATGCATTGTTTCCTTTTCTAAGGTCCTGTTAGCTCTTCTGCCAATGTCAAGGGTCTCATGTGGATTGGTATTAAGGTGAATGCACTAAATGATCCTGATGTTTTCAGAAGAGGGAAGAAGCTCACTAATGTTTATTTGGTTCCTTTCTTCTTACTCACATGTATAACCTTCCCTTTTCTTTTAGGCCTTTTTAAGATATTCTCGCTCCAGGTTACCCCTCTAGCTGAGGTTGTGTGTTAGTCGTCACCTTGCTACTCACTTTGAACATGTTATATGAAAGCAGGAGCGGGGCAGGGAGGGATGGATGTGGGGTTGAGTCCCAATTTTCCATAACAGCTGTGTGACTTTGGGCAAGGCACTTAAACTGGCTGAGTCTCAGCTTCCTCATCAATACAATGTGGGTATCATGCTAGTTACACAGGATCATAGGCCTGCCATTTAGGGGATACTCATGATGGTTAGTGAATCAGGAAAACAGTGCTCCCAACCACGAGGGGCCTTTACCACCCACTCCATTTATACTCAGACACCAGGTTTATTTTTAGAAAAAAAGAGCAAAGTTTATTGAAATTTCAAGCTACATCTGAGAAATCAAAATCCAAATCCTGGAGACATACATCAGGATAAGTTGTCAGAAAGTGGAAAGTATTCACTGCCACAGAACCTCCTAGAGACAAGCTCCCTGAGCACATCACCTAGGCACCATCACATCAAAGCCATTGCCTTGTTCATCCCTTGTCCATGAAGGGCACCAGCAAGCCAACTGTTCTCTTCACTTGAAAGTTTTCCACAAACATTTAAAAAAGTTTTTGAATAACAATATGAAGTCCCAGCTGATCTTTTCTCAACCCCATTCTATGTAGTCAGCACCAGTGAATGGTGGGTTTGGCATTCAAAAGAGGACCTCACACGTCTTCAGAGGACAGACGCGGCAAAGATTGCAGCAGCAAGGCATCCGTGGCCGCATTCAGAGACTGGCCTACTCCCTGCTTTTACTTTTTAGTCTTACTTAACCTAAAGGACAAACTGGATCAATTTGGTAAATGAACATAGTCAAAGAATTAGCCTTAAGAGATAAGGAACTGGTCAATACTCCCAAAGCTGTTTAGGCCCTTCAAAACGTAGGTGTATGTGTATATGTATACATCACTACACTAAGATATAGATCTAGCCCTATGGGTATATATACGCATGTATGGCTATATAGAAAAACTATGCCATTACTAACCAAACAGAACTTTGTAGGCAGTCATCCCAAAGCCGTAATCCCACACTGGGCTGTGCACAAAGCCATGCATTATACCATATTAACCGACAGAAGGCTGACTTGGCTCAATCTCTCCCATCTGTGGCCCTGCTTTGGTGAGGCAGGGGATAAGAGAGAGGGTGCCTCTGCTTCAAACTAAAGTGGCTTCTTCATAGGAACAGTCGTTGTCAGGTGAAGCTGTTAAAGATGTCCATGGAAATGAAAAGCAGACCCCCTTATACTTTCAGGAGCAAACTGGCATCACATGTCAAACTACCTTTCTCCTTTGCCAGTCACAGCAAAGTGCCCGGGCCCTGGGAGCCCCAAGGGCACGGTGGCATTAGAGGCTCACTGGCTTGGGGTGATGAGGCCCCATGCAACTCAGCCTCCAAAGACCTGCTCTTTGTCAGGGGTCTGTCACTGGAGTGGACCCAGGTGGCCATGTCCTTGGGACATCTCTTGGCACCAGCTATGCTAGGTGTAAAGTTCTCCACGTGAGATGACGCTTGGGGAGCCGAAAACAAACTGGGAAGAACTAGGTAGAGCAATTTTAGTGGCTCTGCCCACCCTGAGGGCAGAGCCACTTACACTGCAGAACCATCAGGGGCCTCAGGCGATTGTGAGGTTTCAGGAGCTGGCTCCTCAGGGCTCAGACGGGACTGGAACTTCTCCAGCTGCTCTGGGCTGGCCAGAGTCTTCAAGAGGGTGTTCTCACGCTCCAGCTGGGAGTTTTTCTCCACCAGCTCTCGGATCTGCTCCTTCAGGATCTCCACCTCCTCTCTCACAGCATACATCAGATGATTCTTCACCAGATCCTGTCACAGAGGAAATCACAACAAAGCCATTCGTTAGCCATCATGGCTCCTCCACAGCACTTTCATCTTGCCATCAAGGTGCCTATGCTGTCTCTTATGCCACCTACCTCCAACCTTCCTTCAGCAACCCCTCCGCATGCTGGCTCCGCAGCCCTATTCTTCTTGCACCCTTCTCCAAAGCGCCTAAATCCTTGCTTAGCAGAGCTGCATGGTCAAGGCAACACCTGAGTTGAGAGCCCAGTTTTGAGCTACAAAGGATCCCCCCTGCAAGTTTCTAATGACTTTTAAAGCTGGCCACTTAGGAGCATTTTGGGTGAGAATTCTGCTGGTTGCTGGTGGTTGGCTATATCCCCATTTCCACATAGGTTCCTGCTACTGGCCTAGATCTCAGGGAGGACCTTCAATGTACCCCACACTGTTATTGTTTGTTTGTTTTTTTGCTTTATGCATCTTCTCCAAGACAATAAAAGTGGCAATTTTGGAGTCTCCTCTCCCCACATGACCCAGCACACTGAATTGCAGTTGTCCAAAAGTCTGGTGTGACAAGACACTTGCCCTGGGGAAAAGTACCTGATTGCTGTATCCTCTCTGAATTTGATTACTGTACTGGGGTCCTGGAACTGTGTCATTAGGCTCCTGGGCACAATTAAGTGGTTGCTAACTGCTGACTGCCTTAACCCCCTGAGAGGTGGAGCATGACCTCTACCTGGTAAAGGGAGGGGTTAGGAGTCCGGTGCTTTGTTTCCTGTTCCTTCCCGACTCCTGACCCCAGCCCAGGCTCTGCAGAGGCACTGCAGTGCGGCTGCAGCATCCAATGAGCTCTGGTTGCTGCCAAATGCGAGATGCAAAGTGTCTCAGCTCATTGCCCTGCAATGGGCCTAGAAGGGAGCCAGAGGCTGCTGCCAAGAGCCAGGATGGGTGAGAGAGGAAGAAAGGAGGGGGCCCATCAAGGAGGGTAGACTGGAAATGCCCTCAAAGGTGCCTCGTAATGGGACTCTACTTAAGACCTGCAAGGGGATAGAAAGCAGGCGGTTGGCTTCTTGGCTAATGGCTTTTGCATCCACCCCCTCAGTCATACTCAGTTACATAAGCAGCAGCTAGGTCTGGGGATGGGAATGACACAGTGATGCCACTCACCATGGCCTGCTCAATCTTGTTGTCTAAGGCCACCACGCTGGCTCCAGAGGCACTGTCAAGACAAAAAGCAGAGCAGCCGTGTTAACCACCTCACTTCCACTCTGAGTACCTGGTAGCTGTGGCCAAAGTCCTCCATCTACCCCAGCTCTTCTTCTGTCCCGCCTCCCTGGCCCGAATTTCCAGGCACTTTGTCCCCAGGTCCCGTCTTGACCACTGCAGGAAGCTGCACCTCCCCACCCAGGCTGGCTCCCCGCCGCCACCGCCCAGAGCTGGCGTGCAGCGGCGCTCGGTCCTGGGGCGCGTGGACCAGCATGGCCTGTTCGCTAGCCTGGGAGCGGGCAAACAATGGGGCTTGCGACCCCGGGAGTTCCCCGCCCCAGGCCCTTTTGGGCTCTGGCCCAGAAGGTCCCAAGTAAACCTACCGAGCTCCGAAGCTAGCTAGGAATTCCTTCTGGGCTTGGAAGCTTCCGGCCTGCTCCCCAGCAGCGCCCAGCGCACAGCCAGCCCCCCGCCCAGCCCTGCCCGCTGCCCCTCTGCCTCTGGCTGCCTCAGCCTCCGGCTGCAGCAGCTGTTCTCACGGCGCAGGGGCCGCAGGGACGCTCCAAAGGCGGATCCCGGCGCGGCAGTGACAACCCCCCTCCGCGTACCCTACCCCCGCCCCTTCCCAGGATGCTGCACCGCCGGGAACCAGGACCAGCGGCGAGCCGCTAGCCCAGAGGTCCCGCTCTCAGCATAGGTTCCGCCTGTGCCCGCTAGGGAGCTTTGGCCAGTAGTTTACCTGTTATCCAGCTTAACGGAAACCACATCTCCTCCAAGCAGGGAAGAGAAGAAGGAGATGTTGAAATTGTGCAGCTGGTAGACAGCCACCTCCATGGGGGTCTGAAACATTTCGGTGTTCATGGCTGGGCTGCCGGGGAGCTGGGGCGGGCTGGGCTGTCAGCCGGGGCTGCTGGCGCGCTGCTCGGGGCTGGACTCTGGGCGTCCGACCCTGGGGCTAGGAGGGGGGCAAACGCTGCCGAGAGGACCTAAAGCCAGGCAAGCGCTCTGGACTTGAAGGGAAGTGGCTCGAGGGGTGTCACCTAGTGTGTCACAAACTCCACGGCCGCTAGTCCAACCCAGACTCAGAGATATTTCGGCTCCTGCTTCTTTATATAGGAGGAGCCGGCTGCGTCACATGGCGTCAGGAGTCATGCAAATGAGTTGTGTACGGGGCTTTGTGGCCCAGTGAAACCACATCCGCTCCCTGAACCTGAGGCTGGGACTGTAAACAGTTCAGCACTTTCTTGTGCCAACTGGCGTCTCCAAAGAGGGCTCTGGAGATCGGTAAAAACCAAACTGGAACTGATTTCTTAGAGAAATTAATACAAATGCCATAACAGTAGATAGCGTGCAGTAGAGGGCGGTGCTGGTTTAAAAAACCCTTCTTTAGGGGTCAGCCAATATATCCCTATGGATTTGCAATGCTATCACACACCACACTCCCTAGGCACCCAACCTAACCACGAGGAGCCTTGCCTTCTTCCCACTGCCTGCCTTCTCAGTCTCTCTCTTGCAGTTTGTCACCCTCATGTCCCCTCACCCAACCAGTGGCTTGCTGACTTGCGCCAACGCTAGCACCTACCCACTCAGCTCCTCCTCTGGATATGCCTGTCTGTGTACCAACACGTGCACAGATCTGTGACATGCATGGGATGTGTGCACGCATTGAGCAAATCTGTGCATGCCAATATGCCTGTGTGGAGGATAGAGTGTCCAGGAGCTCAGATGAGTAGGGAAACATGTACAGGGAGCACCTGGCAGCCAGGTGGGTGACAGAGGATGTGAGAGGAAATGGTAGGGGAGTGGGCACTGGAATGACCACAGATGCCAGCTGTTTTCTCTTTGGTTTCCACACCCTATTCTGCATTCAACATTCAACATTATCCATGATTTCATGTTCATATTTCTCAAAACAATATTCTGTTACTTTCCTATAAACAGAAAAAGACAGCAAAACTACAAACCAAGACTATATGTATAAACCATCCCAGGAAAACACCTGTGATAGGTCCAGCCATACATAGGATTAGAGGGTACTTCAGGCACAAACAAATTCCAAGTCACAAGCTAAATGAGGTTTGTTGCCTATCAAGAGGTATATATGTTTCCATCAAACTATATTTTCACCTTTTCAGGCTCAAACTTAAAAAAAAAGACATCAGAGGCTTGAGGTCCTTTTCTACAGCTCTTTCCTAAGCGAGGCCACCTTGTGGGTACACATAGAATTGCAGCCAGAAGGAGTAACCCAGCCACAACAAGAACAGGTGATGCAACTGAAAGTATTATTTACAACAACTCAGGGCCATAAGGAGAACATTGGGTTCCACCACATATACAATAGTTTGACTGAGGTTAGGGCCAATATTCATGTATCAGTTTGTGATTCAGGCTGTGGTCCAAGGAAATACCTTAATGCAATCTTGCTGTTGGAAAAATACTGGGAGACTCTTATCAGCAAAGAAGGTAATTATTATTTGCTTCAGGATATTTCTCCTAAACAGGTGCCTGGCACTGACATCCTTGTCAAGGCCCCCCGGGAAGCCCAGTCTGAAGGCCTTTATTTTCTCCAGGCTGCCAGAGCAGTTATGTCACTAAACAGCCAATATAATTTACTATGACGTGGGGCTCCCATTGGACCCCACTGGTGGTATAGTATGTGTACAAGGGCCATTCTGTTTGCAAAAGGATTATAAACAGAATTATTCAAGCAAACCTACTACACTAGCCAGGGGTGCTGTTTTTCTTCACCTTAGTTTAGGTGGGAGACAATCCCAATCTCAGGATATTATGTTACATTTAGGTCACAAGCTGTCTGATCATGGTGTTTGCACTAAGAACCTTGTGTAGTAGGCAGAACAAAGTCCAGGCTATATTTGTATGTCATTAAGAACATTAGCTAAGGGAAAAAACCCTCTTAAATCTGGAGCTTAATTGGTATTGGAATTAATTTTCTGATATATTAGCCTGTCTTCTGTGCTACATAGAGCTTTCTTAATCCAGAAAGAGTCTCTGAGTTGACTTTTCATCAGTTTGTAAATCTTCCCTAAACTAACTGTTGCTACTCACCCCAAGATTCCAAGGGAGATGATTAAAAGGGAGAGATAAATAAGCTATGTTGGCAGGAAAAAAAAAAAAACCACCACCAGGAACAGGGCATAGGACAGAAGAAATAACGGCTCCTTTAGTGGGGACTTCCTTACATGGAGATGGAGGTAGAGAAATCCAGGTAGTTTGGGGAGAGAAAAGAAAAGACATTAAGTTTGCTAGCTAGGCTGTATTTGAAATGTACATTAATTATACTTCAATTAAAAATATGCTGAGTTTGAGACCCACTGATAATAACAGCTACTATTAACTGAGCATCATCGTCTATGGGCCAGACACTATGCTGGATATGCCACAAACCCTGCAGAGTAGGCACTGTCACCATTTTACAATTAAAAGAAACTATGGCGATGAGGGTCCGAGAATCTTCCTTGCCCAAGATGGCACAGCTAGTAAATTTCAGAGCCCTGACCTACAGACTTTGTTCCTACTACACTTACTTGTCTTATGGGGCAGGGATAGGTTTGTTGAATGAGTAATGCCAGGTAGCTGGGGGTTGGTTTGGAGGTGCAAGGAAAGTGGTGAGATGTAAGAAAGGGTGAGGGGCAGGAGAAGTGCCCCTGGGACTCCAGCAGCAGTATTAGAGAGAGTTCCAGAGGCTGACTTTGAGCTCTGTGAGCACAGCCGGCTTTTCTGACACTCGTGGCAGGAGACAGCAGTATCAGGGGACAGGAAGAATATCAAAAGTGTCCAATTTTTTTTTTTAAATACGAGGGCTGTGCTTATCCATATAATTTTGAAAGGCAGCCACACAGCCATCAAAGAAAGCTCTCTCTGTCTATGGAATTGAAAACATTAATCCAACCAGGTGGCTGGCAGAATGGAATATTGCAGTCCTGGGGTATACAATATCCCAAATAAGGTGTGGTGTCTTGGAGTAATCTTCACAATTCAGTCTAACTTCCAGTTCCCAGGGCCCCATAAACTGGCATCCTAATTAAGTCCCTTTATTTCTATTCCTGCTGTGCTCAGCTTTTAAGAGAACGAAGCCAATGACAAGAAAACAAGCTATTGTCAGGGACTTAGTTTAAAAATCAACTTTGAAAGGATGTCCCAGGTTCAGCCCACACTCAGCCAATCTCACATCCTCTCTACACCTTTGGTTTGCCAGCCACCAGCCAAGTGAGATGGCTCCTTGTAATCCTCCCTTATCAAACAGTGGCTGAATCCCAGGATCCCAGGGCTTGCTAAGGGAAGACAGACATAAGTGTCCCTGTAGAAAGATTTTCAAACAAGGGAAGGCGGGGGGATGGATGAGAAGTAGGAAGAACCCAAAAGGTTTTCTGCTGAACCCTCAGCACACCAGAAAATTCCTCTGCCCAGAATAGCTGTGTCAGACTTTGCAGTAAGTGGAAGCTTGCCCTGTATAAGAAAGATATCTATTATCTGATCTAACTTTTCTGAGTCAAGTGCTGATCCATGAGGCTCTTAGCAGTCCTTGTGTCCTGTGGGCTTTGAGGTAGGCCCCAGGCAGGAAATAGTGGATTATGAATTCAACAGCCCAACAACTTTATGTAAAAAGTTTCTAAAATCCCTTTCTCCCACCCTACATTTACGAGGTAGGCTGGATCCAGAACCAGCACAGCAAGAGCACTCAGCTTATGAGCCAGGTCCTCTGCTGGCTCTCAGTTATAGCCCTACAGCCATGAGATTCTGCAATTAAACAGATATAGCTGACCGTCCCTCTCTCAGGGACAGCCTTCTAGATGGAAGTTGGCATAATGAGGACGGAGAGAACTTCCTCCATTTCAGGAGGCCCTGCACGCCAACTTGTCCCCTTTGAGCTGGAAGAAGTGTCTCAGTATTCCCACTGATCTGTTCCACTTCAAAAGCCATACTCTCTAGGACAAGAGCCCTTCCTACTTCTGGTTCCCAGAGGACAGTGGGATGGAGACTGGACAGTCTGGACCGCAGAACCCGTGGGCAGGATCTCAGCAAGCTGCCAAGGGTTGGGGAGCAGACTCAGGGTGGGGGTGGTGGGTTGGGGGTGGCAATGAGAGGGAACATCTCACTTCCCTTTTTGTCACACTTGAAGCATTGTGTACCACGCAGCCTAAAGGAAACTATTTATAGGCAAGTCTTCCTTATTTTCTACAGGGAATGTTCCACCCAAAGATTCAGCAATGTTGCCAGCAAAACACAGGGTCTAGTGTCAGGAGAAGTGGAAAAAGACACGATGCTGCCGAAACCGGTTTGGCTCAGTGGATAGAGCGTCGGCCTGCGGACGGAAAGGTCCCAGATTCGATTCCGGTCAAGGGCATGTACCTGGGTTGCAGGCATATCCCCAGTAGGAGATGTGCAGGAGGCAGCTGATCGATGTTTCTAACTCTCTATCTCTCTCCCTTCCTCTCTGTAAAAAATCAAGAAAATATATTAAAAAAAAAAAAAAAAAAGACACGATGCAAGAGGTGCAGGACAAGCCACAAAGCAAATACTGGGTTAGGAACTGGAAAATGAAATAAAAAAAAGATATTGAGCACGGGAGCATTAGAACAGTTAATGGGACATGGGCCGCTGCAAAACAGCCCTCCCATTTACTCTTCCACAGAGGCTCCCTTCCGGGGCCCATTCCGGAGGAAGGTCTGTCTACTTCTTTTAAAAAATTTTTTTTTTCTTTATTGATTAAGGTATTACATATGTATCCTTATCCCCCCATTGCCCCCCCACCCCCCCACTCATGCCCTCACCTCGCCCCCCCCCCCGGTGTCTGTGTCCATTGGTTAGGCTTACATGCATGCATACAAAGTCCTTTGGCTGATCTCTCCCCCCTTGCCCCCACCCTCCCCCCACTCTCCCCTACCTTCCCTCTGAGGTTTGATGGTCTGATAGATGCTTCTCTGTCTCTGGATCTGTTTTAAGTCTGTCTACTTCTAATTACTTACTTGTCCCTTTTTTTTTTTTTGAAGAGGCTGGGGGAATAAGAAGGATGAAATGACACCCTTAAATTTGTCCTTGCTTCTCTCTTTTCTTCTCTCTTCCCCTCTATTTCCACTCCAGTGTGGAAAACTATAGACAGGAAAGCCGCTGCCACTTACATCGTGACTTTGGCTTCATGGAAAATTCCCAGACTCCAGAAGGAGGGAAGCAAGAAGAAAAGAAAGTGACAGAGAAATTACCTTGTCCTCTGTGGGTCATGTTAACATCCCAGCATGGCCATGGCCCAGAATCCCGACTTTTGGGGACAAGAAAATGGGGAGGAGGTTGCGGACACAGATGCTAAAGGCGATGGTAGGAGCCCAAGCAGAGTCCTCATGGAGATGGACACATGCTCTTGGAAAAGCAACTCTAGTACCCAATTTGGGCCAAACTCTGGCATTGAATGATGGCAGGAGCAATGAATTGTGCCTTTCAGCTCCCTCCTGGACAGGATCCCAGTGAGTTTCACAATCTCTGAGTGACATTAGGGATGACAAGCAGAACCAAAGTCCATTTTGACAAGGTGTTCTACTCCACTTACCCTCAGTCAGAGAAATCCAAAAGTACTCTTGTCAAATCACCTTCATCACCCCAACTTTGGTAGCTAACTAACTATGGGTGGAACGGTTTGTCCTGGTGTCTCAGCAAGACTGGAGGTATTGACAGTGTTATCCAGGAATGCAGTTTAGCTCAGTGGATCTTAAATTTCATGAACCTTGTGTCAATATTTATGCCTGTCTCCCTTCCTCTTATGTCTTGCAGCTGGTAAAATTTACCTCCACAATTTTTCCAAGCCCTCTCCTTTCTCATTTTCTACCCTCACCATTACCCATCTACAAGTATGAAACAGATATTCCCGAAAAAGAGATTGTAAAATTAACCTTGGTAAATGGAATATCTTTCTCCTCTCTGCTTCCCACACTAGTTGCCTTTACCATTCAATTCAATTCAGTTCAATTTAATTCAAGTCGAAGTTGCTTGAAAGCCTATTTAAAGTGCAAGCACATGTCAGCAAAATTTTTAAAAAACTGGTAGTACAAGTAAAAAATTGTGTTTCCTTCCAGAGTACCCTGGGCCTGTGGCAACTTCAAAAGTCTCCCTACTGTTAGGTCTCGGTGAAATGTTTGCTTCAGGACAAAGCCCAGAGCTTGAGAGTATAAGAAGGGGTATAAGAAGGCCAACACCACTGCCATCCTTGGGATCACTTCATTCTCAGAATTGGGCATGCTTTTTTTTTGTTTTATGTTTTTTGGGTTTTTTTTGTGTGTGTGTTTTTTTTTTTTTTTTTTACTTTCCACCTGCCTTTTGGCCTAGATGGGGATAACACAGCAGCCACAAAGCTTGGAGTTGCTCTGGGACTTAAGGCTCCTCTGACATTGTGGCCAACAATGCCACTTTGATTCCATTTCTTAACCCGTAGAATTTGTAAACGAAGGGAAGAAGGTACAGGTCTTTGTTCTCTGAGTTACCAGCTCCTTCCTTCTGAGAAGGGGGTGTCTGTGATTAGTGTGGGGGTCACCTCTACCTGCCAACCTTCTTAGCCTTCCTTCTTTTGCCAGTTCCTCTCAGTCTTACCCTTGTTGCATCTTACACTCCCAGAGTGGCAAGCAACTTCAAATAGGCAAATAGTCCTCCTCATCATGGTCTACCCGCTGGGAATCCTGACCCACTGCATCTTCCCCAGCGGGTGGGAAAGAAAGCAGCAAGAACATGACCACACCATGCTTGTCTGCACCAGCCTTCCACTAGCTTATCTGAGCCTCTCTACATCTCTTCTACTCATTGGAGCAGTCCCAAGAGTCAAAATTCTAAACCATTTTTTTCTGGCAGTTGCCAAGGTTACTTTCAGTGGTATGTGAAGGACTCTGGGCCACTGGCAATACTTGGAAGACAAGAACCAGGAGGATCTTGTTGGGGATGTGAGGCCAGCAGACTAGGGGCCTATGAAGAGGCCAGGGACTCTGAGGTGGTACACCTGGCTCCACTGTGGGCCCCACTATAGAATGAGTGACCTTTGAAGTGATACAGGTTCCTTGGGGAACAAAACCACAGTAATAATGCTAGCTTTTTCAGGCACTCAGCTCCTGGGCCATGATGGGTAAGCATTATGAGCCTCA